TAAAATGATCGCAAATGCTTTAAAATGGCAACCAAAACCAGAAAGACGTGGAAGAAAGCGAAAAACTACCATTCGAATGGATAGAAGAATAGCCAAAATGGCAAGGACTCAGCCAACAATCAGCTCCAGGAAGATGAAAGAAGGTCTAAAGTTCCTTGTGAGTACTGTTACAATTAGAAGACGCCTATGTGAAGCCAAGCTATCTGCAAGGAGCCCCCGCAAAGTCCCACTGTTGAAAAAAAGACGTGAAAGAGGTTACAATTTGCCAAAGAGCACATTGACTGGCCTAAAGAGAAATGGCGCAACATTTTGTGGACTGATGAAAGTAAGATTGTTATTTTTGGGTCTAGTGGCCAGAGACAGTTTGTCAGACGACCCCCAAACGCTGAATTCAAGCCACAGTACACTGTGAAGACAGTGAAGCATGGTGGTGCAAGCATCATGATATGGGGATGTTTCTCATACTACGGTGTTGGGCCTATTTATCGCATACCAGGGATCATGGATCAGTTTGAATACATCAGAATACTTGAAGAGGTCATGCTGCCTTATGCTGAAGAGGAAATGCCCTTGAAATGGGTGTTCCAACAAGACAACGACCCCAAACACACTAGTAAAGGTGCAACATCTTGGTTCCAGACCAACAAGATTGACGTTATGGAGTGGCCAGCCCAATCCCCGGATCTTAATCCAATAGAAAACTTGTGGGGTGACATCAAAAATGCAGTTTCTGAGGCAAAACCAAGGAATTGAGAAGAACTGTGGAATGTAGTCCAATCATCCTGGGCTGGAATACTTGATCACAGGTGCCAGAAGTTGGTTGACTCCATGCAACACAGATGTACAGCAGTTCTCAGAAACAGTGCTTATACAACCAAAATATTCATTAAGTGATTCAAAGGAAAGCAAAATCTTCAAACATTTTTCAGTTTATATAGTGAATGTTTGAGTTTGTAAAGAAGAATACAAACACAATATTTTTGAACAGTCTAATATTCACTTTTCTTCATTTTTTTAGAGGAACAACACAAATGTGATATATTTTTCTTCATGTTTTGATTTGGAATAGAATGTGTAGTGTTCCCAATGCATTTGTGTGTATGGAAATAAAAGCTATTAGAAGGATTTTGAGCTTTATTCACTTTTTTCAACACACTGCTATTATTTTGAACACAACTGTGTGTGTATATTATACACACACACACATACATACACACAGTTAGGTCCATATATATTTGGAACACAGTAAAAAAAAATTGGCCAAAACATATTCAAGTTATAGTTATATCATGGATATGGGCTGAAAGTGCACACTCTCATGTTTAATTTTGAGGGTATGTACATCCAAATTGGAGGAAGGGTTTAGGAATTACAGCTCTTAAGAATAGCCATCCCCCTTTTTCAAGGGACCAAATGTAATTGGACAATTTAATATAATCATAAATAAAATTTTCATTTTTAATATTTTGTTGAGAATCCTTTACTGGCAATGATTGCCTGAAGTCTGGATCCCATGGACATTACCAAAGACTGGGTTTCCTCCTTTTTGATGCTTTGCCAGGCCAGGTGATTGACTCGGCCATTGCAGAATATTCCACTTCTTTTCCTTCAAAAGCGCCTGGGTTGCTTTTGCGGTGTGTTTTGGATCATTGTCCATCTGTACTGTGAAGAGTCATCCAATCACCTTTGCTGCATTTGGCTGAATCTGGGCTGACAGTTTATCTCTATAAACACTGCAGAATTCATCCGGCTGCTTCTGTGACATCATCAATAAACACCAATGACCCTGTGCCACTGGAAGCCATGCATACCCATGCCATCACACTGCCTCCACCATGTTTTACAGATGATGTTGTGTGCTTTGGCTCATGAGCTGTTCCAAGCCTTCTCCACACTTTTTTCTTGCCGTCATTCTGGTACAGATTAATCTTAGTTTCATACATCCAAAGAATGCTTTTCCAGAACTGGTCTAGCTTTTTAAAATCTTTTTTGGCAAAGTCTAATCTGGATTTTCTATTTTCCAGGCTTATGAATGGTTTGCACCTTGTAGTGAATCCTCTGTATTTGCTCTCGTGAAGTCTTCTCTTGATTAGACTTTGACAATGATACGCCCACCTCCTGCAGAGTGTCCTTCACTTGTCTGGATGTTGTGAATGGGTTTTTTTTTTACCATAGAGAGGATCCTGCAATCATCCACCACTGTTGTCTTCCATGGACGTCCATGCCTTTTTATGTTGCTGAGGTCACCAGTTGCGTTCTTCTTTCCTCAGAATGTACCAAACTGTTTTTGTGGCCACTCCTAATGTTGCTGCTATCTCTCTGATGGATTTGTTTAGTTTTTGAAGCCTTACAATGGCCTGTTTCACTTGCATGGACAGCTTCTTTGAACACGATATAGATTCACAGCAATACATTCCAAATGCAAATATCACACGTAGAATCAACTCCAGACCTCTTACCTGCTTAATTGATGAAGAAATAACAAAGGAGTACCCACACCTGGCCATGAAACAGCTTTTGATTAAATTCTCCAATTACTTTTGGTCCCTTGAAAAAGGGGGGATGGTTACTCTTAAGAGCTGTAATTTCTAAACCCTTCCTCCAATTTGGATGTACATACCCTCAAATTAAACCTGAGAGTGTGCACTTTCATCCCATATCCATTATAGAACTATAGCTTGAATATGTTTTGGTCAATACCTGAAAAAAACACAAAACATGTGCCTGTGTCCAAATATATATGGACCTAAATGTGTGTGTGTGTATAATATATATATATATATATATATATATATATATATATACACACACACACACACACACATGCATACAGTTGTGTTCAAAATAATAGCAGTGTGTTGAAAAAAGTGAATAAAGCTCAAAATCCTTCTAATAGCTTTTATTTCCACACACACAAATGCATTGGGAACACTACACATTCTATTCCAAATCAAAACATTAAGAAAAATATATCAAATTTGTGTTGTTCCTCTAAAAAAAAATTGAAGAAAAGTGAATATTAGACTGTTCAAAAAATAGCAGTGTTTGTATTCTTCTTTACAAACTCAAACATTCACTATATAAACTGAAAAATGTTTGAAGATTTTGCTTTCCTTTGAATCACTTAATGAATATTTAGTTGTATAAGCACTGTTTCTGAGAACTGCTGTACATCTGTGTTGCATGGAGTCAACCAACTTCTGGCACCTGTGAACAGCTATTCCAGCCCAGGATGATTGGACTACATTCCACAGTTCTTCTCTATTTCTTGGTTTTGCCTCAGAAACTGCATTTTTGATGTCACCCCACAAGTTTTCTATTGGATTAAGATCCGGGGATTGGGCTGGCCACTCCATAACGTCCATCTTGTTGGTCTGGAACCAAGATGTTGCACGTTTACTAGTGTGTTTGGGGTCGTTGTCTTGTTGGAACACCCATTTCAAGGGCATTTCCTCTTCAGCATAAGGCAGCATGACCTCTTCAAGTATTCTGATGTATTCAAACTGATCCATGATCCCTGGTATGCGATAAATAGGCCCAACACTGTAGTATCAGAAACATCCCCATATCATGATGCTTGTGCAACCATGCTTCACAGTGTACTGTGGCTTGAATTCAGTGTTTGGGGGTCGTCTGACAAACTGTCTCCGGCCACTAGACCCAAAAAGAACAATCTTACTTTCATCAGTCCACAAAATGCTGCGCCATTTCTCTTTAGGCCAGTCAATGTGCTCTTTGGCAAATTGTAACCTCTTCAGCACGTCTTTTTTTCAACAGTGGGACTTTGCGGGGGCTTCTTGCAGATAGCTTGGCTTCACATAGGCTTCTTTTCTAATTGTAACAGTCCTCACAGGGAACTTTACACCTTCTTTCATCTTCCTGGAGCTGATTGTTGGCTGAGTCCTTGCCATTTTGGCTATTCTTCTATCCATTCGAATGGTAGTTTTTCGCTTTCTTCCACGTCTTTCAGGTTTTGGTTGCCATTTTAAAGCATTTGCAATAATTTTAGCTGAGCAGCCTATCATTTTCTGCACTTCTTTATGTGTTTCCCTTCTCCAATCAACTTTTTAATCAAGGTACGCTGTTCTTCTGAACAATGTCTGGAACGACCCATTTTCTTCAGAATTTCAGAGAGAAATGCACTGTAACCAGCATGTCCAACATTTGCTGCCTTCCTTCCTTTTATATATATATATATATATATATATATATATATATATATATACACACATACATCCATACACACACACCTCAATAAATTAGAATATCAACAAATTAATTTATTTCAGTAATTCAATTGAAAAAGTGAAACGCATATATTATATAGATTCATTACACACAGTGATATATTTCAAGCATTTATTTCTCTTAATTTTGATGATTATGGCTTACAGCTAGTGAAAACCCAAAATTCAATATCTCAGAAAATTAGAATATTGTGACAAAATTCAATATTGTGGACTCATGGTGTCACTCTCTAATCAGCTAATTAACTCAAAACACCTGGAAAGGTTTCCTGAGCCTCTGGTTCAGAAGGTTACACAATCATGGGGAAGATTGTGGACTTGACAGTTGTCCAGAGGACAGTCATTGACACCTTCCACAAGGAAGGCAAGTCACAAAAGGTCATTGCTAAAGAAGCTGGCTGTTCAGAGTGCTGTAACCAAGCATATTAATGGAAAGGTGAATAAGCAACAGGGATAACCCCAGCCCTGAGAGGATTGTGAAGCAAAGGCCATTCAACAATTTGGGGGAGATTCACAAGGAGTGGACTACGGCTGGTGTCAGTGCTTCAAGAACCACCACATGTGTCACCACAGCAGTCATGTTAGAACAGGAAGAGGCCATCCTCAAACTGTTCTCACAAAGTTGGGAGCATGAAATTGTCCAAAATCTCTTGGTATGCTGACACCTTAAGAGTTCCCATCACTGGAACTAAGGGGCCAAGCCCAACTCCTGAAAGACAACCCCCAACACCATAATGCCCCCTCCACCAAACTTTACACTTGGCACAATGCAATTAGGCAAGTACCATTCTCCTGGCAAATGCCAAACCCAGAAACGTCCACTGGATTGCCAGAGAAGCGTGATTGGTCACTCTAGAACACGTCTCCACCGCTCTAGAGTCAAGAGGTGGCATGCTTTACACCACTGCCTCCGACGTTCCATTGCACTTGGTGATATAAGGTTTGGATGCAGCAGCTTGGCCATGGAAATCCATTCCCTGAAGCTCTCTAAGGACTGTTGCTGTGCTAATCTGAAGGCTACATGAAGTTTGTATTGGAGGTCTTTAGCTGTTGACTCTGCAGACAGTTGGCAACTTCTGCGCCCAGTGCGCTTCAGCATGCGCTGACCATGTTCTGTCATTTTACGTGGCCTACCACTTCAAGTTGCTGTTTTTCTCAGTTGCTTCCACTTTGTTAGTGGTATTAGAACAGTTGACCGTGGAATATTTAGTAACAAGGAAATGTCACAGATGGACTTATTGCACAGGTGGCAACCTATCACGGTACCACACTTGAATTCACTGAGCTCCTGAGAGCGACCCATTCTTTCACAAATGTTTGTTGAAGCAGTCTGCATACCTAGGTGCTTGATTTTATACACCTGGTTCCAATTATTTGGAGGGGTGTCCCACTATTTTTGCAAATATAGTGTGTATATATATATATATATCTCAAATAAATCAAAAATTACCTTTCCAAGCTGCTGTGCTGTAATATTGTGTAAAATGCAATTTGGCTACCTGGAGGTGTTCTGTATACAAGAATGTGTACAGAACGCCCCCGAAAATATAATTTCCTGCCTGTGTGATTGACTCACTGATTTTACCAGAATTCTGTACGAAGCTACAAGTCAGATTCTTGGCATCCCCTTAAACAAAAATATATATATTTTTTTCCCCAAGAGGCTCCCAAAAGAAAATCAGGTCTAAAGAAATACAGACCCTGCCATTTTCTCAATAGAGGCCTGTAAGTGCAGCAGCTGATAATTAGAAGACCACTCCCATACAGCTTCGCTCTGCACATGGACACAAACACACCGCTATTTTTTTCAGAACAAAAAGGTAGAAATCTACAACAAACTTTGTTCAAATACTTGTAATGCTATAGTGCACCCAGAGGGAATTTTGTTTTTTTTTTTCCCCTCAACAAAAATGGAGTTACTCTTTAAAGCAGCTGTACAGGAAAGAATAGGATTTCTACTTAACACTCCAATAGCAGATGTTACACCCCTTTTCTATTTCAGGGCACTTTAAAGTGATGTGATCATTTGACAGACATTTACTCAGATATGCAACCCAAGTGTAATTTTTGTAGACAGAATTTTGACACATAAATAAAAAAAAAAATGCCAACTGCCTATTGGATCGAGGGCATTACATGACCTCTTTTTGAAAGGTGGACATCTCTGTGCATAGCAAGAAGCATGGTGAGTATTAGAGGGATAAGCTTACCTTTCAGAGCATATTATTCCCATAATTCAGGTATGATATGCTATAATTTATAAAATTCTTTTTTTTACCCTACAAAAATATGTACGTTATTTTTTTTTTCCCCCAAAGGAAAACAGCCTTTAAAGATCTCATTTTGAGACAGATTCTTTGGGATGTTTAAAGACACTGCTGTTTATGCATGTACAGTACCTGTTTTGGTTACAAAGGATGGACTGGTTGCTGAAGTCTCCCTGCTGCCCATTTTTTTTTGTCCAGTGGTATTCCCCCTCTTATCTTCACACCGTGGACTATGATATTGACAATTGCTGCCTGTGTCAGGTGTACACTATCATTGTCAATCCTCCTTCCTCACACAAAGCAAGGGGAGGGCTAGTCTTTACCATTTGTGATTACTGCGATTTGTTCACAAAGCTGAGCCATTCTGACAGGTCAGATACCAGGCAAAAATCAAGAGGCACTGTGAACATATCTAACACACATGCTGGACAGCGTAGGATGTTTAAAAAAAAACACTCTTAGAATAGGTATTCCACCCGGCTGGTCAGGAGGTGGTTAAAATGCATTTTCATTCAAGAACATCCATTTTTTTTCCCCAAATGAAAGCGTACATTAAAAAGTCTAATCCCCCAAATTCAGCAGTAAAAGATCTCTAGAATTATAGGGGCTGGCTCTCTGCTGAAGATCTACTATTTGACCAATGGATTCAGGTTTTTCTAACTTACAATTATGTAGGTTAGAAATTTTGCCTTTGAAGAACACCTCACCCGGCCAAGGTCAGCCTCACAAAAGGAATGAAGGCAGAGCCCTTGCAAATTGGTACTTGCTCTGTGCTGAAGGATTGTGCATGCCATGCTGAAAACGGTTTCAACTCTTACACAGAAAGCATAAAACATGTGTACCAAACAGAAGTACTAGCAATTTCTGAAAATAGGGCAATTTGCAATGCATGGGATTATAATGTGATGTCTTGCCTTAGGCCTTGTTTTATACTCTGACTTCTGAAAAGCAATTCAGAGTGGATTGCTTTTTAGAGGGCAATTGACAGACATGTCAACTTCTAGATGCCAGTTTTAACCATCAAAAGCCTGCTACAACTACAAACATGCATTGCAGTAGAGCCTGCTGGTGAATGAGATACAGTATCTCACAGAAGTGAGTGCACCCCTCACATTTTTTGTAAATATTTTATTCTCTTTTCATGTGACAACACTGAAGAAATGACACTTTGCTACCATGTAAAAGTAGTTAGTGTACAGCTTGTATAACTGTAAATTTGCTGTCTGCTCAAAATAACTCAACACAGCCATTAATGTCTAAACCACTGGCAACAAAAATGAGTACACCCCTAAGTGACAAGGTCCAAATTGTGCCCAATTAGCCAATTTCCCTTCTCGGTGTCATGTGACTCGTTAGTGTTACAAGGTCTCAGGAGTGAATAGGGAGCAGGTGTGTTAAATTTGGTGTAATCACTCACATACTGGACACTGGAAGTTCAACATGGCACATGGATCTGGAGAGAGGGGGGGGGGGGGGGGGGGAGAAGGAATTGTTGCTCTACATAAAGATGGCCTAGGCTATAAGATTGACAAGACCCTGAAACTGAGCTGCAGCGCGGTGGCCAAGACCATACAGTGGTTTAACAGGACAGGTTCCACCCAGAACAGGCCTCGCCATGATCAACCAAAGAAGTTGTGTGCACAGCATCATATCCAGAGGTTGTCTTTGGGAAGTAGATGAAATGATTGCTGCAGAGGTTAAATGGGGGGGTTGGAATCAGCCTGTCAGTGCTCAGACCATATACCACACACTGCATCAAATTGGTCTGCATGGCTGTCATCCCAGAAGGAAGCCTCTTCTAAAGATGACACATAAGAAAGACCGCAAACAGTTTGCAGAAGACAAGCAGTCTAAGGACATTGATTACTGGAACCATGTCCTGTGGTCTGATGAGACCAAGATCAACTGATTAGGTTGATGGTTTCAAGCATGTGTGGTGGCATCCAGGTGAGGAGTGCAAAGACAAGTGTGTCTTGCCCACAGTCAAGTGTGGTGGGAGTATCATGGTCTGGATGAGTACTGTCAGCTGGAGAGCTACAGTTCATTGAGGGAACCATGAATGCCAACATGTACTGTGACATACTGAAGCAGAGCATAATCCCCTCCCTTTAGAGACTGGGCCGCAGGGCAGTATTCCAACATAACGACCCCAAACACACCTCCAAGACGACCACTGCCTTGCTAAAGAAGCTGAGGGTAAAGGTGATGGTCTGACCAAGCATGTCTCCAGACCTAAACCCTATTGAGCATCTGTGGGGCATCCTCAAATGGAAGGTGGAGGAGCGCAAGGTCTCTAACATCCACCAGCTCCGTGATGTCATGGAGGAGTAGGAGAGGACTGCAGTGGCAACCTGTGAAGCTCTAGTGAATTCCATGCCCAAGAGGGTTAAGGCAGTGTTGAAAAATAATGGTGGCCACACAAAATATTGACACTTTGGGCATGTTCACTTTTGTTGCCAATGGCTTAGACATTATGGCTGTGTCGAGTTATTTTGAGGGGACAGCAAGTTTACATGTTATACAAGCTGTACACTGACTACGTCACATTGTAGCAAAGTGTCATTTCTTCAGTGTTGTCACATGAAGATAAAATTTACTATATACAGTATCACAGAAGTACACCCCTCACATTTTTGTAAAGGCTTTTGCTGCAATATAAGTACCACCCCCCTTCCTCGGCCACGTTATGTTAAGGTGGGAACCTGTGCAGTAATATCCCCATATAATTTTAGAGATTAGATAAGACATAAAATTGACTGCTATGGGCAAGTAGGTCTTTAAGATTTTACATAATTTTCACAAACAAAATCAGCAGCCTCACATTTGTTAAATCTGAACCACAGGCTACAATTTAAGAGCCGCGTGTATTCTTACTTTGAGCCCTGGTTCACACCAGTACCACATGCCATTTACAAGTCACACCTGAAGTCAAAGTATTTCTATGGGCCAGTCTCAATCCATGCAATTTGAATGGCAAGATTCCAAAATTAGTTCAGGCAGTAACTCTCCCCCTACCAACTTGCATCGATTTCTGTTGAATGAAGTCACAGTGAAATCAGGAGGTACAAATTACAGTGATCTGCGGCTTTGAAATCACACTACTGCAAGTGAAGTAATGCAATTTTAAAGTCGCATTCAGTGTGAACCAGAGATGAATCTTTAGGTCATTTGTTTTTCTTCCAGATCTGTGTAATCCAGACATCTTTGGGTAGGAGCTCCCTGTAACAACCAGTCACTGTTGCTCTTGTGCCCATAGGTCTGCTCAGGCTGCTGCAGTGATGTCACTGCTACTTTGTAGCAGCCAAATTCCTGGGCAAACCCAGATATTGCCAAAAGAACTTAAAACCTTTCTGCCTGGAATTTAGCTTTACTAAAACCTACTGGGGCAAATTTTAGCAACATATGGCAATCATTCTCCACTCTTTATCAAGAATCCATGTACTTTCTGGCCACCTGAACACATTCAAGGTATGTAAAAGGTTTCTGCACACAACAAGGTCGGAAGCAAAACAGGCTTAAATCCATCAAAATTTTAAACAAAATGACAGCTTGTGTATTGGAGATGTTTTATTTGGAAATGTTCGATTCCCAGTAGTGGGTTCATCTTCACCATGTTAAGGTTTTGCTTTTAAAATATTCTGGTCACCAGTTGAACACGGACGGTAATCAATCTCTCTTTGTATTAAAACAAAAAAACTAGAACAAAAAATATATATATATTGAGACCTCACTCCAATGTCAGAACAGTACAGCAATCTCGAACCAAAGTACATCCAGGGAATTCTCAGCACTTACAAGGAAACCCCACACAAATATACAGCTATAGATTAAATATATATATATGCGCAGCAAAGGGAGGAGGGAGGTGGGGTAAGTTACAGGAGGAAAAGAAACAGCTGGCTCTGGTTTTTAAAGTATGAACAATGAAGATTTTTTATATTTATAAATAAAACATTGAATGGCAAGAGGGAAATTACAATTCTAGATCATATATTTTTACATGGAACTTTTGTTAGGAAACATCCAGAGAAGATGTGGGAAGAAAAATAAACACTGCACGCAGAATAGGGAGTCTTGTGATTTGTGGAAGTGATGCCGGCTTCCTTCCCACAACACTGGCATCAGGACTCCTTATTGCCCTGAAGTCCACCCAATGAATATAGCTAGAGGGTTACACACAACAGTCACTAACTTACAATTGCGCAGTTACAGGGGAGAGGAGGGAAGAGAATCTACTGAATCAGGGTGGGTGAAGGATGACTGTACACATGAGATAAAACCATTTTTTTTGTAAGTGACGATTTCTGGAACGCTGGGAAGAATTTCTTCTTTATTTTTGTGGCGAGGATAAGGGCCACAATCAGACCGTACAGACCCAAGACTTCAGCAAAAATGAGGATCAGGATCATGCCTACGAATAGTCGGGGCTGTTGTGCTGTTCCCCGCACACCTGCATCTCCCACAATGCCAATGGCGAACCCAGCAGCAAGGCCACTCAATCCTACACTGAGGCCAGCACACTAGCTGTAAGAAGCTCCTAGACAAGGGTGGAAAAAAAAAAAAAAAGTTAATATCAACTTAAAAAAGGACATCAGAAGATAAAGGCCTTCAGTAACATTCCAATAGAAACTTGTGCCATAAAGTACCACTTGTTAGCATTACAGAAAAAGGTCCTATACCAAGCATATTACTTTCCTGTAAATGTTACCCATATATTGCAACTTGAACACAACTGTGCAAAAGTAGTGCTATAATCTGTATGCAGTTCACAAGTTTAATTCCTGCTGCATTCGGGGGGGGGGGGGGGGGGGGGGGAAAGGAGGGGTGTCTCATTAAATGGGGAAGAGAACAAAGCTTGACAGTCTAAAACAGGCCAACCATGGATCAAAATTGGTCTGGTCCCTGCTGAACCAACCTGAATTTTGATCCATGTATGGGAAGGCTGACTAGATCCACTGATCAACTTGTGGATAACCAGCCTGTTAAAAATTTACATGCAATCACTGCTAGTGGCTGCAGGTGCTGCCAGTAATCACTGTTCTGCTGACTGGGAATGTCCCCCCACCACCAGAAAAATAGTACTGCAGGAGGCATTCCCCATTAATACTGACCATGATGGGGGCTGCCCTACCCACAAGAAAGGCAGGGAAAATCCCTAAAAAAAAAAAAAAAAAAAAATAATAAAAAAAATATAATGGCACCCCCGCATGTCTGCTGAAGTGCAGCATGTTTATCTGCAGGTCAGGAACACATGCAATTTGAGTGCATTCCCTGCCTGCAGAGCTGTGAATTTAGACTAAACTGTCCCCCCTATTGAAGACAAAAAATATTTACCTAGAGATACATTAAGTCTACATAAACGAGTGATGACAGCTGCTCAAACAATGATTTCATGTCTATCAGGTAGCTTCAGGCATTCCGGGTTACTGTTGACAAGGCTTTTCTTAACTTGCATTCTCTCCTTAAAGTCAGCCATAACAGCCAAAATAAGGTAGGGATGCACCGATACCAAGTATTTTTATGAGTACTCGTGAACATGCCCTTATCCTTTACAGTGTTATCTGCATCAATACAAAAAGTGTATGGAAGCACCAGGATGGTACTGGCCAAAGCAGTTTTGCAGGGATGACTGTACAGGCTAAGGAAAGGAGAGAAAGCCACGGGGGATTTCAAATTCTGTGCCTTTCTCCTCTCCCTCCTACAACTGAGAATCCAGAGCATCTGCCTCCATCCTCCGATGGCTGACACCAAGGTATACATCCCCCACATACCCTTCCTCTCCCACTCTGCTCAGCATGGGATCGGTGCAGGGAGGTTTCCTGCACCGCTCCTGCGTGAACTGATTTAACAGAGAGAAGCAGTGGAGAAACCACATGCAATTTGGACAGGAATACCCTTTCTGTTCTAAATCACAAAACATTTGAACGGAAATTGTACCGCAAAGAATAGCATGTATTGATGCAAATAGCAAAGTATCAGTACTTTTTAAATCTAAGAGTACCAATACTTTTGGTCAAGTACTCTCCAATACAAAGAAAAAAACCAAAAAAAAAAACCCAAAAAAGAACAAACAAAAACTGGCGTCGGTGCATCCCTACTTTAGTAGTTAAAGCACAACTAAGCCCAGAGATTTAACGGTTTCCCAAACCAGTTACATTCAAGACATGTCAGTTGCATGTGCTCTCAATTGAACTGTCAAGCCATCAAAAAGCTGGTGTCATAACTAATCACATGTGCAGTATCATGGCAACTGTAGATCAAAAACAGGCCAAGATGGCTACTTCCTTGGCTATAAAGAACATTAGGTTTAGTTCCACTTTAAGGATTACAAATACCAAGTATTATGGGGTCATAAGTCATGGAATTAAAAACCCAAAAACCCTACAAACCAAGGTTTTAACTACTCTATTCAAAGCCATGGCAGGGAATGGGCACTTCCACTAAAAAAAAAAAAAAAAAAAAAAAAAAAAAATTAAAAAGGCAAAAAGGAGAGATGATTAGTGCTAGACATCTAAAGCTGCTAGTGTCTTCACTCATTTAGCATGTGCAAGCGCTACAGGTTGGGGAAACAACTCCCGTCCCATAAGAAGAGAAAAAAAAAAAAAAAAAAAAAAAAGCACACATATACCCATTTACTAGGGAAAGGTTTGAGCACCTTGTATAAACAGACAACCGTAAAGACTCACTTGTATAATGAGATGTCCAATGTGAGAGAGTTTGCAATAAGCACTGCCACTACCCAGTCCATAGATAGCTATGATACCAGCCATGACCACAGGAATGATAGACTTCATGATCAGCTCAGGCCTCATGACAGACATCGCAGCGATGCCTGTGCCACTCTTCGCCGTTCCATAGGCTGCCCCCAACGCTGTGTAGAGATTAAAGGGAAAAAAGTCAGTATTTGCACAGAAAGGAAGACACCCACTACAATTCACTCATGACATGTGAAAGGACAATATGCAGAGAATGCTACAGTGCCATTTACAGCCTTTAAATCAATCTTTACTGTCATTGGAAATGAGCACAAATACAACTGTGCAAAGTGCATCAACATGGAAGTTGCAAGATCTGTTTGTGTACAATAGATATCAATCACTGCAAAAATGATCGCGTTATGCTACTATAAACATTTTCTACAAAACAAATAAAATTTCCATTTGGACAATGCTTCACCCAAAATTGCTTTTGCATTACTTCGAACGTGTAGAAAGAACCATTGTTTAGTTTAGACCATCCTGATTTTCTATCACATCAGAAATGGACAAGAAAAAAAAAAACACAAAAAAAAACTGTACATGTGCTGCAAATGGTGCAAATTGCATAGTAGATTCAACTGACCATACACCATTTGTTTTTTTGCTGAGCCTCTGGGCTGAATGGAGGGGGGAAAGAGAAAAAAAAAAAAAAATAAATAAAAAAAAAAAGTGGGTAATTAACAGAATCCACCATCCATGCTATACAACAGACAAATCTCCCACTGTGGCTACTTTATTCTGTCAGCACCAGTGGTGGTCAGAATACCAGAAATGCAGCTGAATTGGCTTGTTTTACAGGTACTTCTATAGCGCTGTCAATTTATGCAGTGCCTTGCATATAAATTGTAAGTGCACATCAGTCCCTAACCCTCAAGGGTGTAAAATCTAAGGTCCCCAACTTTCATACATACAAATACTAGGGCCAATTAACCCTCACAGGCACAGGGAGAACATGCAAACTCCAGGCAGGTGTGGTGCCATAGTTGGGTTTCTAACCAATGACCCTAGTACTGCCAGGCAAAGTGCTAACCATTGTGCTGCTGCAGTAGCCACATTGGCTGACCGTTTTCCATCCAGTTGCTTAGATTTTTCCAACCCAAGAATGCCTGGCGGGAGATGGGTGATGGCCACTTGAAGTGAATTTCAGCTTGGCTATATTCTGGCTGGCTCTTAATGAACAGCTTAAGGCACAGGTATAGATACAGGCATTTGACAAAGTAAAATTGTACTGAGGAAAAAACCCTAAAGAGAATCTGAAACAGTGTGCTAAAGTTGGAATGATACATTTTAGGAGAAAAGTTTGGTGAGAAAAAAAAAAAAAAAATTCACACATTACACCCAAAAACCTGTCTACGCAAACTACTGCTCTAAAACCTTTAAAAATAACTCCCAAACAAACATGATCCCTCCTACACCCCCCCCCCCCCCCACCTTTAACCTTAGGGTCCACTTTCATCAGCCCAGTACACTGTAGTGCATTATTGTGCAGTTTTAAAGGCAATCCATTCAGATGGGCCACTCAAGGCACCGCACAGCTATACATCATACACTAACACTTGATGCAAGTGGTCTCTAAAAAAAAAAAAAAACAAACCCACACACCTCAAAACGGAGCTTAAAATATGCCTCCATACAACCTATGTTAATGGGCACAAAGGATAACAGTTGTCTATACAGGCAAGCTGTGTGCATGAACTAAGCAAGATAATGCAAGTTTCCCTGCTCAGCGTCAGAGCCTCACACTTGTCCATGTCACTACTAAAATAAGGATCAGCCAGGCAACTAGCATATCCAGGTAGTTAAAAAACAAACCACAGGCTGCATATATTTCTCATACAACCCCAATTCCATAAAAGCTGGGACACAAATCTAAAAAAGCAGAATACAATGATTTGCAAATCTCAAACCCATATTTTAATAGAAAAAAAATTATATCAAAATGTTTAAAATGAGAACATACCATTAAGGAAAAAAAAAAAAAAAAAAAATGTAATTTTGAAATGGATGGCAACACATTAAAAAAAAAAAAAAAGTTGGGACAGGGCAACAAAAAGCTAGCAAAGTGGTACTAAAAAGGAAGAACAGTTTGCAATCAGGTTAATTGGCAACAGGTCAGTAACATGATTGGGGAAAAATAAATAAAAGCATCTTAAGAATGAGTATTTCAGAAGTAAAGATGGGTAAAGGCTCACCAATCTGAAAAGCTGTCAAAAAGTGAAATCCAGAGTTATGTGAACGTAAAAATTAAAAAAAAAAAAAAAAAAAAAACTGTGAAAGGGGCAAGGCCAAAATGAAATATTGGATGTCAGTGATCTTCTGGCCCTCAGGCAGCAATGCATTAACAGGCACGATTTGCCTAGTCATCCAAAAATGCAAGGTAAAGTTCCATCATGGAAAAAAGAAGCCATCTCTGAATGGGATTTAGAAACTGTCTTCTCTGGGCCAAAGCCCATTGGAAAACTGTTCTGTGGTCATATAAATTTAAATTTTACATATGGCAACCATGGGCACTGCTGTCCTCTGCTGACAGCCAAAAATGTCCCTCTTTGCCCAGTTCAAAAGTCTGTATCTCTAATGCTACAGGGGTGCATATGGAATGTGAAGCTTGCACATCCAGAAAGGCACCATAATGACGACATTCAGGTTTTACAACAGCATGTGCTCAGGCAAAAAACTGGAACACCACCCCTCTCCCAAAACTTAAACTGTAGAATGCATGAAGTTAAAAAAAAACTTGAGCCTTAAAACCACTTTATGCTTTTTGGAACAGCCAGATTGAGATTTAAAGGTTTTAATTGCTTAAAAACAGACCTAATCATGGCTTGTGACGTAGAATACACATTTAACCTACTCACATGTGAATGAGCCCTAAGTGTACAGAAAGTTTAAAGATAAAAATGGCTTTGAGACAATTCACTTGTACCAGAACACCCAGAAAATCAAAGACGATCAAGTCCAAGTGATATCCTAGCAGAATGGTAGATCATGTGTCACATTCCAGGAAGGAAAGAACCACGTGATTGCTTTAATCACCTATATGGTAAATTCCTGGGCTTGCGAGAAGCTACAAATCACAAGACATCTAGTAGGGATGACCTTACGGTTTAGAGTGGACAAAAAAAAAAAAAAAGTCTGCACTGCTCCAACTATAGTAGACAGTCTTAATTGGCATGAATTTTTTTTTTTTCACTCCATCCATCTTTAAGTCTGCTCCCATATATGCATTTAATGCGGAGTTCCACCTGAGGGAAAAAAATAAAAAAGTCAGCAGCTAGAAAAAAAAAAAAAAACTAGCTACTGACTTTTAAATACAGACTTACCTGTCCCTCAATCCAGCAATGTCCTCACCACCTCTGGTTTCACCGGCTGTCTTCACTGGCAACTTCAGTGTGGGCACCCGGCTGTGACAGCTTGCGGCTTCACATCCGGGTGACCACTGCACATGCACGAGAAGCGCTGCGCTTTGTGAATGGCCCGTAGTCTTCTGGGACCTGTCAAGTGTCCCAGAAGACTACGTAGAGGGACAACTTCCGCTTTCGATCGCCCAGGCCAGGGGTAGGCAACCTACGGTTCTAGCTGTTGTGGAACTACATTTCCCATGAGGCACTGCAACAAAACTGACAGTTACACCTATGACTTGCAGAGGCATGATGGAAATTTTAGCCCTGCAACAGCTGGCACAGCAGAAGTGGGTACCTATCAAATTTGGGTACCTGCCCCCCCCTTGAAGGTGCCAATCCTTAATGGGAAGTGGGAGATGTAGGCTTAAAGCAGAACTTCCCCTTTTGAGTTATAAAATCTAAATTATTCATGTACCTTAAAATTGCACTATTACACCAAAAGCATTTTATTAAAAGAAAAAAAAAATTGCCTTTTTTCAATAAAAAATTATCCACCCTGTCCTCAAGGCTCTGTTCTATCAGGAGGCGGATAGGGGACAGTAGAAGGGGAGGATCAAACTGCCTTACACAATGCAGAGGATTAACCCCTTAGGTTCCACAGTGAGTATATCAAGCATGCTTTACTGCATATACAGACTGATTCTACTGTTGTGGGTTTTTAGTCTCCTAAAATGGAGGAAATTCCAATTAATGTCACAAATTAGCACAGTTTTTCAAATGCCAACTTTTCAAAGAAACAAAATCCACACCACAAATGAAGGCTTTATCCATTTACACTTGCAACCTCTTATAATAATTTTTAATTTTAAAGTGTTACTAAACCCACAACTGTAAAATCAGTCTGTATATGCAGTAAAGCATGCTTGATGTACTCCCTGTGGAACCGAAGGGGTTAATAAGCTGCATGTGTAAAATGCTGTTTGATCCCGACTTCTGATCCTCCTCATTCCAGTGCCCCCTCTTATCTCCTGACACTCTGCACATGCTCAGTTTGGTGTGTATTGCTAGGCAGGTTTTTTTTCTTGGGAGTGCATGTGATTAGTAGAAGGACCATCAGCACTGTGCAGACAGGCCAGGGGTCCTACATCCTAGAGCAGATAGAAAACACAGAAGTCATAGGCGAATGAAAACACCTCCAAGCTTTAACCAGTTCTTAGCTGGAGACTGATAGAAGTCACTAAACTACTATATACTGCTTATGAGAAAAGGTATTGTGAATGCTCAAGAAACTGCAACAAACTTTGTTACACAATTTATGGGGGATGCTTTAAACTGGTTATAAAGCCTTACACATAACTGGCTTCCATTCAAGCTAGTGCGATTTTAGATGCAACTCGAGTTGCATCAACTACAGGACAATGGAAACCGCATTTGTTTCAATGGTTCCTGTTCACATCAATGCAACCAAGCACAGCACGATTTTGGAAAAAGTTTCCTGCACTACTTTGGCAAGATTCCAGTGTGATTTTGGCCCCGAAGGTCAAAATCTATTGTAGCAGTGTGAACCTAGCCTAATTTGTACCTGTTTTTCTGCAGCCATCTGTCCTGTACAGCCTTCTATACCACACAGATGAAAGTACTCAGCAGCAGAATGCAGGTGGCAGGAATCCGATGTCAAACTGCAGAGCTAGACCACAGAGCTGAGTGTAATCAGTTGACCCTGGGAAGAAGGGGTCGCTTACCTCCAGGAGAAAGGGATGGTGGGATTGTTAGTGGGGCATTTTTAGCCTAGGAGGCCCTTTCACACAGTTGATCCAATCAGGGAGGACTGCA